TGCACAGTGCCCGAGGAGGCTCATGGTAGCTATACAGCTCTCTGGGCATAAAAGGGTGTGTTTCATAATCTAAACCCTCTCCAACATGTGAGGTGATGTGAAAACCTCACCCTTGATCCCATCTATTACTACTCTGGGATCTAGAGACACCCCAACTTGGTGACTTTCCTCTTGCTTCTGAGACAAAATACCTTGACACCCAGAATTAAGGAAGAAAAGGGTTATTTAGCTCACAGTCTGTGAAGGTTTTAGTCCATACTTGGCTGGCTCCAAGGCAGAGCGGCATATGGCAGAGGGCAATAGTTCATGGTGGTGGAAAACAGCAAAGCAAGAAAAGCAAAGGAAGGGGTGCAGAGAGCAAGCCTCTATCCCTCCCCTATATTGCACACAGGCTTCCCATCTTAGGGTGGGGGCGGCACTCACATCCATAATCCCAGCATTGGACCATGGCTCAATCATAAACTCTAGAAGCCTGCATCCATGACTGCACGAGACTTTGAAGGGACATCTAGACTCAAACCATAACACCCCTATACATTATTACCATCTGTCTGGTGTGGGAAGAAAGGGCCTGCAGAGTTATACAGTCCATTGCAGATATTACCCTGTTTTGTCTGGGCCTCTTGATGACTTCTACCCTTAAAATTAGTAGCATAGTTTGGTTTTGAAGAAGTTCTGTGATTTATCGGTCTGATTTGACATCTGATCGGTTAAGGTAGCTCACTTTATTGAATGGTACATTGTAGGGCCTCCAACTACATTACAGGGCCTCCAAGCCTTAGGATGTGATGTGGCCTCCAGTTTTGTATCTTTATGTCCTGGCACTGGGTAAGTTTTTCTAGATAACGGCTAACAACTCTCTGGTGCTGCTGATGTTCTGTTCTGGTTCTATGTTTTAAGAATTACTAGTTTAAAATCATTGTTTGGACTCCCTGGGTCCCAATTCACTCCTTGGCTCATGTTCTATCAACAAGAGTCAGGCAGTATTTGGGGGGAACCCAGCTTCCCAAATGCTGTTTATGGTTGCTCCGGGGCCGTGCCCTTTGGGACCCAGCTATAAGTCTACTTGATTTCATAGAACACCACATTACCAAATTTTTAGCCCCAATGCCCGTTCAAGGCCTTATAGCAACCCATCAGCCACAGACCCTGAACTTCCAGGGGACTCAGTGAGAATAAGTACTTCACAGACCCTCAGCAAATTTCCATTTTTTGAGACAATGGCCATACTGCAAGGCTATCGAGGCTGCACAGGACCCAAGAAAAGGGAACCTCCCCCTCTGTCCTTGTTGTTCATCATTGAAGAATCTGCAAGCGGATCAAAAGATGTCAAGATTGGTAATAAAATGCCAGCAATATAGAGATATCCCCAAGTTGGGTGTAGAATCTCTTCCTCTATCACATTTCCTGGGAGAAATTAATATTCCACACTTAACCCTCTAATTTCCTGTCCAGATGATATGAAGTTACAAGTAAGGATGCTTGGTCTTTGAGTTGACCATTCTTATGTTAAAGCCCTCTGAATTGTTGCCTCCAATTTCTGACCCTGCGCTGCTGTCCACCTTAGTGCACACATTAAGTGCAGTGAAGGTCAGGTTTCTGTAGCCTGAGACACTTCAGCTGAGGCCTCTCTGATGGTCCAAGAGCCTTTACTGAAGGCCAGGCAGACTGACCCTTACTCCTGTGATTCATTTGATTTCTTTTATTCCAGGATCGAACGATTGGCCTTGCGCTTGCTAAACAAGCTCTGTACCACTGAGCTACACCACAAGGTGTTCATTCTCTGTAGAAATTTGGGTTGCCTTTGCTTCAGGCCAGAATGGAGGAACATTTGCCTAAAACCACCATGCTTGCAAGCTTCCCTTGCAGAAGTAGTGTAGGGGACAGTGACTCTTAGCATATCATTTTAAGATAGAATAATTCTAGCCTTAATGCAAGCCTCAAAATGTGTCTCAAGAAACATTCTGGAGGGGTTGTAAAGAGTTAACTTTGTCGTCCTGACTTAGCCCTGGAATGCTTCTCCAAAGACAAAGAATGCCAGGGCCTAGATAACTACCTATGACCTTGCCTGGGTTGTTTCATCCTTTCCCTGGCCCTAGATAAATGTTGTAACCGTAAAGGAAATGTATGGTTATCTAAAGGGGACATATAGAACAGAGTACAGAAAATGGTTGGGCTCATGACTGGAGCCTGACCCAGTTACGTGGCACAAGGAGAACAATGTGTGGCCAGGGCTACAACATTCCAGTCTGTTAACATGGAAACCAAAAATGTATATAAACTGGGAACAAAGGCAGGCTCCTCGCCCACTTCCCTGATTGGCAAATCAGGAGGATGAGTGGCTAGCCTCAAATCAAAGCTCTGCTTGTTCTGACTAGAATCTTTTCGGTTTCTTGTGGAATACAACCCGAATTCTGCAGTTAAAGTAGTTACCTGGCTGAGATCAGAGCCACTGTAATCTGCAAGAGGAGCTTTTCCCACTAATGCTTTTCCCAGGGCCTTCAAGGCCTGGTGTGGCCTCCCAGGTCCACTGATTCTAAGGTTCTATCCATTGGGATTCTGATTCAGGGTTAGGGTGGGGCTTGGGAAGCGTAGTTTAACAAACACCTCAGGTGATGAATTTGTTCTACTACGTCTGCTTGCCATCTCCTTGAAAGTATCCCTAGTTTATAGCACACCATCTGGCATTTATCAGGAGCTCTACGAATATTTGTGTACCAAATAAATCACCGTGAATTTGAAAGGTTGAGAAGGGATGGCAGGGACTCTGAGGAAGGACTTCATGTTGTTCTTCACTGTCCAGATAGCTCTTGTGGGCATGGTCAAGGGTGAGAGATACTTCCCCCTCTGAAAATGTGTTTGCAAGGGTTTGATTTTAGATTTTGATTGAGTTGGGACTGGGAAGGAAGAGAGGAGGGGATGTTATAAAATCAATTCTTCCTAAAATTACTGGTTCCCCAGGATCCAAAGTTATGTCAAGCTATTTGTCAATGAATGTCACTCTCCATAGTGACGGGTGCCATCAAATAGTCAGAACCTGCACTGGATGTAGAATGTAATTTATTTTATCATTTTCTGATATAAAGTTTTCTCTGCTGTGCTTTATAAGTCATAATTTTATATAGCTACATCCCATTTTAGCTCCTTTTGACTTACAAGTATACTGTGTTACCTCTGATTACACTCACATCTGGAGTTTTAGAAACTCAGGTAGAGTACTACGGGCAAAGCCTTATCTCTGTGGAAGTTCCTTGCATCTTCTTCTGCTTACTCTTTTTTTTCCCCTCTAAACCTCTCCTCCACATCTTTAAGATAGCTAAATCTCTGTAGCCAATCTGATTCTCTGAGAAATCACTGGAAATCCTTCAATTAAGGAACAGAGTCAACAGCAATCTGTTTAGAATGAATTTTAAACTTTTATCTACCTATTTCTGAGAAAGTCACAGATTTTGCTTAATATGGCCCACCCATGAGTTGTCAAGCACTGTCTAAGTACAAGCATGTTTTCCAATTGGTAGAAGAGCTGTCAGTAGACTTACTAAAGGTAAAAAGTGGGTGTCAAAAAATGCTGTGACCCTGTGGCCCCTGGGGCTCAGTGGAGGTTAACCGCAGGTAACCGCAGGTAATCCTACAGCCTGTGAGCCCCAGCAGATATTCCCCGGGGTCCAGCTAGGTCCCCAGTGCTGCAGCTGCGGTTTGCATGCGTGGATACCTCAGCTGAGGCTGGCTGGCTCTGCCTTACTGCGAGGCGCCATGCAATCAATCACCCTGCTCCTTCTTATACCTTCATCTCCCATTGTGAAGGGAAAACTCAAACTCAAACACATTAACATACTGCGTTCTTCTGACTATATTCTAAATCTTTTGGACTTTTCTTCTTTCACTTGTGAAGCAAAAGCCCAGCTCTAAAAATCACTGGGTGCTGACAGTGTACATCATGACACATTCCCTCTCACCTTAGTTCTCCAGCAAACAGATGCATATCTTGTACTTGGGCCAATCACAGGGCTTGGGGCTCAGCCACTGTACTCATCGGCTACCTTTGCTGGTCTTCTGCAAATGGAGGCCATAACCAAGGGGTGGGTCATTTTTGTCAAGAATATCCCATCTTCCATCTGTTACTAGTTTATTTATTTGTCCAGAAACAATTTCCCTGGCTCCCATCACTAGGGGTTCTTAGATATACACATGCAACAGAATCACCTGGGAAAACAGAGGAGGCTGGACCCCTCCCCTGAGCTTCTGATTCAGTAGGTTTAGATGGGGGGTCTGGGAGTTTGCACTGCTAGAGAGTCCCCAAGTGATCCAGATGCTATTGCTGGTCCAGGCACAACACTTTAAGGAGCATTGCCCTAAACCAATTTTATTGATTCTGATTAACTTCTGGACTGTGATAAATTTAAAATACCATTAGGTGAAGTTAAATAACATCAAGGGGAGATGATGTTTAATTAAATTAGATTAAGTAAATTAAATAAATTAAATCGATTTAAAATGCTATCAGATAAATTTAAATACCACTGGGTAAATTTAAAATACCATCAGTCAGGGATAAAGTGCACCCACAAGTCCTATGAAAAGGGGGAGAAAATCAAGAGCGAGTGAGAATTCTGAGAACCTCTTGCTGTCACAAATTTTTCAAAAGTGTGTAGGAAGAACTTCACTAGTGATCTGTGCACATCTGTGTGTTGATACAAGTACAACATGACATAGTAATTTTTTTTTTTTTTTTTGAGATAGGGTCTTGCCATGCAGTTCAGGTTGGTCTTGAGCTCACAGTGTAGCCTAGGCTGGCCTTGAACTCACAGCAATCCTCCTGCCTCAGTCTCCTGAGTGCTGTGATTAAAGGCATGCACCACCACACCTGGTGAACATAGTAATGTTATAGTGTGTAATTCTATCAGGTCAGCTAAAGTATGAGTAAAAATAAACCCTCATAGCCTCATATTGTTGTGGCAAAATGGACTGAATATTCACAGGAAGACACCGTACCGAGGAGGTCTAGGAGATGGCAATTTTATTACACCAGTGGGCCTGACTGGGATCGCTCCCAAAGAGTTAGAGCCTGACCAATAGGGTTTTGGTACTTTTAAGGGGAGAGTAAGTGGGAGGTACAGCAGCAGATTTGGTGCATTATGATTGGAGGGTTCAGTGACATCATGGGTTGCCAAGGGAGTTTAACATCTCAATTTACATTGCAAGACCATCATCAGTCTCAGGTTACATTGCAAAGCCATCAGTTACACAAAGACAATAAAGACAGGGGCTATACAAAGGAAGAAGTGTTCTGTTATCAGGCTTGCCTGGGCATGTCCAGTTGGTTTTGGTGGGCATTCTTGGTGGGACTTTACTTAAATTTTTAATTCCCTTTCAATATGAGTTCAATATGTAGATAATGCAGGATTTAGTCCTATCTCTTTATTATGAAAATATTTATTAGGGTCTATTATGTGCAAGGCACTGGACTAAACACTGTTGGAGTTGGATGACAAGATGTGGTTCTGAGTCCATGCAAACCAGTATGAGATTAGTCAGAACTGCAGTAGAGGTATCATATCAGTGCCACGAGAGAAACACAGTATATTATTTTGAGTGTTCAAAGGAAGAAAGGATCATTTGAAGCTGGGGTTGTGGAACAGAGAATGAGAAACTGTAACAGAAGAGGCATCTTTTGATGTGACAGAACTCGTTAAGACAGGGACCATGAGCTCTTTGTGTATCTGAGGACACTACTTGCTCTGGTTTGAATGTTTGTCAAACAAAACTCAGGCATTGGGAACCCCACCAATACAACAGTGTTGGAGGGTGGTGCCTAACACGAAGTGTTTAGGTCACAAGGCCTGGCTCTCATCAGTGGATTGCCATCAAAATGAAAAGGCTTTCAGGAGTGGGTTTGTCCCCTTCGGGGTTTCTACCCCATGAGGAAGAGTGTTCCTCCCATGTGGAGGCTGCAGCATTCAAGGTGCCATCTTGGAAGTGGAGACTGGGCCCTGACAAGACCCCAAACATGCTTGTGTCTTCATCTTGGAATTTCCAGACCGTAGAACTATAAGAAATAAATTTTGGGCCATTATAGTCCACCCAGTCTATGTTGTTTTGTTTATAGCAGCACAAAATGAACATTAGTCTTGGCCTCGGTGGGTGGTGGTCACCGAGTATTTGTGGGTCTGTATCATGAAGGGTGAGAATGACTTAGGTAGTCCAGGGTGAGGCCCTTCAAAAAGAACAGGAACATTAACATACATCCATCAACAGATGGATGGAGAAGAAAAATGTGGAGTATGACTCTGCCATAAAGAAAGATAACTTGGGTTGTTTGTGGGACAATGGATACAGCTTAAGACCATATTGTTAAGTGAAATAAATCAGACACACAAGCTTAAATATCACATGCTTTCACTTATAGGGGAAACCCAGAATAAAAGTAAGGAGCAAAATAAAAGATAGATATAGGAAGTACAGACACTGATCTCAAAGGGGAAGGTGGTCCAGAGATGGTGGGAGGGGGAGGAAGGAGGGGATGAGGGATGAACACAGGGATTGGGATGTGTTAGGCCCCAGCGATGGGTAACATTTCCTGCTAGAGGCCGACCTGTGAACAAGAATCAGCACACTGCTGCTGATCTCCCGAATTTATGCTCTCTAGGGGCCAGATTTACTTGTGTAATTTCCTCTGTTCTTCTTGATATTTTCATTATAAATGAGGCAGTTGGAGGGTGTTCGTGTAATTAGCATATGGACCCTGTTCTGTGGGCATCTTCTTTGGCTTTCAGTGATCCCCGATGCTCTTATTCCGGTTTCAAGGAGGCTCCAACAGCTACACAGCAAGCAGGAGGCAAAACTAATTGGTATCTAGATTTCCTTAGCAGCTCTGTCTCCTTTTTTCTGAGTTTTTCCTGGAAAATTACGGTGTGGGGGAGAAGCTTTCAAAATCTGTATAGAACACACACCACGCACACACACACACACACACACACACAGACACACGCTCACACAAAGAAACTGAGGTAGGTAGACAAGAGACGAGACAGAAGTTGTAAGCTTAAGAGGGTAATGCTTCAACCGTTATGTCCTTTTCTTTCAAGTTTTAGGAAGAAGCACACAGGGTGGTCTGTTTTTATCTACCTTGCTCCTTCTGGGTTCCTCACGACTTTGCAAGTGAATTAGGATTTGAAGAGATGATCCTGTCCTCCAGCTGAGTTGGCATTATGTTACATTTCTGACCAATTTCATCACCAGACAACTAGTGCTCCCTAAAGGAAATAGGGTGGGGGGAAGGGAGGGGGGAGAAACAGAGAGAATGCTTTAGCAGAGTGACTAGTTGTCTTTATGCTCCACCAGGATTCTTTTAAAACTCGCATCTTTTGCTCATTTCCCCACCTGGCTAAAATACAGAACTTTTGTTCCAACTATTGATGATTTTTTTTTTAAAGGTCTTAATGGTTTCTGTTGCCATCATTAGTGAAAGTTCGAACAAAACAGAACAAAAGCGAGGACGGCATGATGTGGGGGAAGTGCCCTGACTCCTCTGATGTGGTACAGGGATCAAACCGTGTAGGTGGAAACAGGCAGGAAGCAGAGAGTAGTTTAGTCCTGCAGGGCACGGCTCCTCCCACCATGCCAAGCTCATCTCTGCTACTTCCGGTGATTTCACAATTACGAGCGAGCTTATTCCCATGGGACAACTGTCAGTCTGTCTGACGATTGGGCTGAGTTGGCAATCAGCGGACTAAAGCTGTGCTTTTCAACCTGAGGCTGTAGGTTTGGTGCATAGGAGGGGCTCCAAATCGGAGAATACAGAGGAAATTTCCCCTTCCTTCCTTCCCTCCCTCCTCCTTCCTTCCCTCTTCCTTCCTTCCCTCCTCCTTCCTTCCCTCCCTCCTCCCTCTCTCTGTCTGTCTTCTTTTTTCAGTACTGAGTATTGAACCCAGTCTCATTAAGTCTCTAAGTTGCCCAAGCTAGGCTTTAACTTGTGATTCTCTTGGGTCAAAGGAAATTTCTTTCTTTCTTCAAAATGTGTGTGTCGGGACCCCTGCCCTCAGTTTAGGACATGCTTTCGGGTCCTGAAAAGGCACCGAGGTCATGCTTATAAATAGTCACCTTCAGGCAATTTGAAAGGCCTGGGTCAATAGCTCCCTGCTCTGAATAGTTTTTTTTTTTAAGTTTTAATAATTGTGGTGGATTAACTAATGGTCAACTTGTAACACCCAGCTGAACTGAATCAGCATGGTGCTGGGTGTGGAAGGCCCACCCAAGGATCGTTGCCAACAGCATACAAAGAGAACTGAAGGAGAAGAAGGTGCGTTGTTGATTCTCCTGGAGAAGCTTGTCACACTGGTTTTCCTGATGTGAACTCGGCTGTTCTCATCATCAGAAGAGCTGGGTTCCTCGCAATAGCGAGGATGGCTGCAGTTCTGCTTTGATTTTTTTCCAGTATCAGGAATCGAACTCACAACCTTGTGCTTGCCAGGCAGGCGCTGTGCCACTGAGCTAAATCCCCGGCCCTTGGCTGCAGTTCTTTTCGGGGAAAGCTCTGGTCCTCACCTTGAGCATGGCTTCCTGGCTCCAGTGCAGATCTCTCAGCCTGCTGGCACAGACTTTCTAGCTCCCACCACTGACCTCTAGGCCTTCCCAGCGCAGATCCTTGATACAGACTTGCATGAGACATTGTTGTGGGCTCTAGGCCTCCAGCTGGACTCATGTGGGGCATTGTTATGGGCTCTAGGTCTTCAGCTGGACTTGTGCAGGACATTGCCATTGGATCCAGGACCTCAACTGGATTGTTTGGGTCTCTAGTCTGTGGACGTATCTCCCACTCTCTTTTGCATTTGACTCTCTGGGTGAATATTATAAAATAACCCTATAAGTTATATGTCCTATATGAAATTATTTCCCTTGCAAAGCCTGACTATAACAACAATCATAAAAAGACATGAAATGATGGTTTTCTAAGAGCAAAAACAAGAACAATGCTATGCTCACCCTTTGTATCACGAAGGATGAGTTCCTTCTGAGTGGTGAGATGCCGGTGTTCTGATTATGTCTTAGGAACGCGGACGTGAACTGCTTTGTTGGAATCGGTCACCTCGGTTATGAACTCCACAGTGAAGCCTATTCAGGCCAGTTCTGACAACAGCGAGGGACTTTCTCCTCTGGATGTTTATTTTACCATCTAAAACCAGCCTCGCCCCTAGAATAGCTAAGTCCCCTCATATCAAGGCTGGGAGCCATCCGGGATTTACTAATGGCTAAGCGTGTTATAAACGGAGATTTATGATCGTCTTCCTAGTCAATTAAAATTCCAGATATTGCTAAGGCAGAATTCAATTAAGGTTAATTGGGGCTTCTGAAAACTGCTTTTCCAAAGGGAAACCATGATGGGATTGTGACTCCTCGTGGGTTTTGATCAGTTTTAAATAACTTTTCATGCCTTTCTTTTCTTGGCACAAGACACATCCCCTCCCTGCTGCGGCTCCTGCTATTATCATCCGATTCAGAAGTTGATTTTTCTGTCCTAAGTGATCATTGTGACTTATTTGGTTTTTGCTTTGTCTTCTTCTTAAAAAAACAACCCTCCCCCCAAAAAAACCCAAAACAAAACTCCCAAGGCTCTGAGCAGACCAGAACCTTAACAAAACTGCAACCTGCACTACGGAAATCACAGTGCTCTGACATGAAAGAAATATAGTCATTTGGAAGATTGTGACAACATTTCAGAGGCAATTATCTAAACTGGAAAAACAACCCATTCCTTTTCCTTTGTCATTAAGGTGGATGAAAAGGTTTGGCAATATTGTCAACGAGGGTGGGGGACCGAAAGGAGGGGGAAACAGGTGCACAGAAGAATTGCAATGCAAGTCAGGCTTTCCATTCTACCCTAAATTTTATTTTCTTGTCGTCAAGGGCTATTGTGACAGTTCTTTAGCACAGTTGATTGAACTGGGAAAACACAGGGGACGGGGCCTTAGTCACCGAATGCAGAACATGTAGCCTGTAGCTCACAGAGCAATCTGGAGCAAGGAGTGAATAATAATTTCAGCAGTTTATTTTCTCAGAATTTCAGACCTATTGTTCATCACTGGAGACTAATAACAGAAGCTAAAGAGAAATTTTCCTTTTGAAAAGGAGAGGCGAGAAGTGTGTGCATGTGGGGGAGAAACACTGCAATTGCTTAGATGTCCTGTTACTCTCTCAAGGAGCAGGTCCACCCATTTGCCGGGGGCCGATAGGAGCCTCGTCAGAGGTGGCTTCCTGGAATCAGCAGCTAGTTCTGTGTCACACATACAGGGTTATTACTGTACAACTGCTTGCCAGAGTGCACAGGCCAGGTGTACTTTTGTACAAAGAATGGCTTTGGAAATGGCCTTGCTTTCCTGGGCACCAAGGAAGGATTTCTGCGAGGCCAGTAGTAACCCTGGTGATTCAAGTACTTCCGTTTCCTGTGCATTTCAGTGGCCGGCCAAACAATGCCAAGGGCAGGCTGTGACATGTGAAGTTGCTTACCTACCAGGTATATTTGGCAAGAACAAATCTGTGTAGTATCACATGTTTTAAATGAGGTTCTTTTCAATGCCTTTCTATTCGCCTGGAAAGGTAGGTAGGGTTCAGATGGCCTCTGCTCAACACGACCAGATGCACACGTTGGTTGTTTTCTATGGATGCTTGCAGTCCTGTCAGCACTAGGCTCCCACCCTTAGAGATAAAGCACTGCCTAGGACTAAGTTCTGACCATGCTGGTACCCACTCACATTTTATCTTTGCCGACTTCCTCTTTCCTCTCTTGAAAGACCAACTGGAAAAAGAGAGACAGGAATATGAGAGAGCATAAAATTGTATAGCAGTTAGAGGGAAAAGTTTCTGTAATCAGAAATCTGGGGTATAATTATACGATCGCCAGAAGAAAGAAACATGCAGGTGGAATAAGTCTCCAGAGTATGATTACTAATGAATTCTCTCTATTCCTTATAGCAAAGAGCCACATTTGTAAAATTAAAAGTCAATGCCTCTTTGATGAGAGGATTTGCGGGCTCTGCTGGCCTTTTTTTCCCGAATATTGTGTGCTTGGAAAGAAGAGCGAGGGAGCTAAACCTCTGTTCAAGGACACTGGAGCCGGGTAGGTGGCCTGCTTTCTGTTCTCCCCGATTTCAAGGCTATGCGAGCCTTTTTCTGAAAGAACTTGATCTGCGGTCCATGCACGGCTGCTTGGAGGGATATGGCCTTACCTGTACAGCCTCAAAACACCCAGGCGCTTCGGAAGAGAAAAGCATTTTAGTTACATCAGCCGTTCGGCACTGTGCGGCCAAAATGAGGGGCTGCTTGGATTCCTCACTGTTTATCTCTGTCTGGGAGTCATGTTGGGTTTGTGGGCCTGTGTTCTGGCTCACATGGGGTGCAGTGGCAGCAGCCACCAAATGGAGCCCTGCGTGAGGCCGTTATATATCTGGTGGCAGAGCGTCGCACTAACAGACGCTTACAATTTGAGAGTACACCAAGAAACATCTACTTCCTAGATCTGCAGAGTTGCCTGAAATTCCACCTTTGTGATTTAATCACCTCCAAAAGGTGCCACCAGGCTCTGAGCATGACTCCACAACTGTGAGAAATAAATGTCTGTGTTTAGCTGCCTGCTGTCTGGTATTTTGTTGTAGGACAAACTGACGAAGACAGGTGATATACATGATTTGGTGTGAGTGGATTGGAGTTGATTCCAAGGACTTTGGCTACTGTCTTAGTTATTTTTCTTGTTGCGAAGATAAAACACCTGACTCCCAAAGTTAAGAAGGAAAGATTTACTTAGCTCCCAGTTTGTAGAGGTTTCGGCCCATAGTTGACTGGCTCCGAGGCAGGGCGGCATGCAGAGGGGCATCGCAGAGGAGAAACAGTCCACGGCGGGCAGAAGGCAGGAAACCAGAGAAGCAGCAAGCAGCAAGTGACAAGCGGCGACAACTCTGGCCTCTTTCTGTCCCTTATATTTCATCCAGGCTACGTGCCCTTATACCGAGTAGTACTCACACCCAGAGTGGGACACCCTTAATCCTAGCATCACACCATGAATCAATCCCAGCATCACATCCTTGATCCCAGCATCACACATCCTAGATCCAACCACCTCCAAAAACCCCATCTATGACTGCATGAAGCTCTGGGGGGACATCTAGATGCAAACCATCACACCTACACACAATGCAGGAAGCTTGTAAAGATTCCAGGGTGCTTCAGGAGGATGATGGGAAAGATGATCTGCTGGGAACTG